AAATCCAGAGTTTCCTATGAAAATACAGAAAATTCAGTTTTTCCTGCGAAAATATAGAAAATTTGCGAAAAATAGAAAAATGCAGGTTTTCCTTTTAAAATAAAAAGAAAATGTAGTATTTCCTAGTAAAATACAGAACTAAGCCCCAAACCCTAAAAAAAAGAATTCCAAAAAAAAAGAAAAATGCACCTCCAAATAAGCGTTAGCTTGAGGGGTAGATGTTCATATAAACTCAGGCATTTGCTACGTCTTTGGGTCGTGGAAGTTTTACGCAACTCCATCATTGCCGTTTGTATATATCAACTTAGCCCCACCAAGCAGCACACTAGTCTTGGAAAGGACCCTCAACCCCAAGCCGAAACAAAGAGGAACTTAGAGAATACACCCGACATGTCCTTGGTCTGGGGGTGGTATGCTCGGTGCAATCCAGAGTTGGGCATTCTACGGTTTAGGATGTTGCGGCTTCGGATTTAATGCCACCAACATGGGGCATCAGGTTTCGGAGCAGCACTAGCACGTGGTTATGGTGGTGTTTAGGCCTTGAGGGGCTTCGGTCTTCAAGTTTGTGGATTCGAGTTTAAAGCTTGCTGGCCCACCCCTTTGTGCATCAGGACTGGTGCAATCGCCTGATACCCTAAACCATTACGTTGGTCTGAAAGCCGAGTTTAAGCAAGCGCAAACGACACTAAACATGCCTAGGCATGCCCTATAAAACCCTAAACCCCATAAGACCAACGAGAACCAGGCTCTCGACACTATAGAAGCCCAACGGTTGTCATTCTCAAGCTCTTGCCGACCTTGCACATAAACAATGTGTATGTACATGCCCACATACGCGTACCTATACATTACATGGTCATCTGATTTAGGCTATTCGTTGGAGATTCCAGAACTTGTGATGTTCATCGAGTCGCTTCTTGATGACCCCCCCTACACCACCTGAAGTGCCAAACCCAAACTCCTTAGCAAAATACCCAAAGCAAACAAAACCCCAAACACCCTCAACCCTCATGGTGCCCCTGGCCCACCCTAACACCAAAATTCTACGAACCATGGGCCTCAATCTTGTCAAACTTCGAGTAGTCGATGCCCGGCATCTTCGATAGCCTTCATCGGTCGTCTTTTTGAATGGATCAAGCGACAGCCTTTTTAAAAGGATCCAAACTCCCCGAGCCCTGGACCCAAATCAGGCATCCTACTAACTAATGAGCAAATTAAAAAGTAATATAGGGGCCTTCATAATTAGAATAGGGTTTTGGGGGCCCATTATACTATAATTCGAACAAGGATCCCCCAAAGCCCTATTCTAATTATTAAGGCCCCTACAGTAGGCGCTTTCTCTTTTAAAAGAGATCCCTCCTTCGGACTCGTGAGAGGGTCTGCAAAGCTCCACAGGCTGAGGAGCTCCCTCGTTTGGGACTTCAGGATTTGAGGGCTTCTGCGTGGTTTTGAAGTTTTTTAGTTTTAAGCTTAGGAATTATATAGGGTTTCGGGTTTAGGCGTTATCGGGGGTTAGGGTGGATTCAGCATTCTAGGGTGCTCCTTCATGGTTTCGGGCCCGTTTTTGTTTCAGGGTTTGGTGCCTAGACGCCAGGCAGCCGCCCGCAGAACAAGTAGACTCCAGCAGGCTGAACCGTGACTCAAAGGGGTGGCTCAAGATTCGGCTTCCGTTCAAAGTTTTTTTTTGCCTTCCGTTCAAGGTAATATAGGGGCCTTAATAGCTACCTATATTATTTTGGGGTTCCTTATTATAGTTACAGTATAATATTACCCAAAACCCTATTCTAATTATTGAGGCCCCTACATTACCGAAAAGCGGTTGTTGATTGAAACTGGAGGCTCACAGTCTTATGCAGCTATAATGTAAAACTCGAACCCCCATGAATCTTCCATATAATTCAAGACCCCGCAGCGCTTCAAAACCTACTCAACGCGACTCAGGCCGAGCAGCTGGGCTGTGGCTTCAGAACACCAGTCCTGCTTTTGTGCGGACACTGGTGGCCCCTCTGAGCCCAAAGCACTGCGGAGGTGAGCGAGAGGCTTGGGGCCTATTTTCGCGTGCTGTGGGCGGCCAGCAGTAGTAGTTACTTGGAGGTTCATGGGTAGTTATAAATGGGGTTATAAGTAGGGTAACTATACTTATGACCCATATTAGGGGACTTATAATCATACTTATAACTACCCATGAACCTCCAAGTATAGTAGTGTGACAGTGGGCAGCAAGAGCCCGACATAACGCGAGACTCGGATCAGGATTTCCGCATCTTCGCAGCATGCGATTCGGGCATGAAGCTCTCCGAGATGCGGGCACCATCAAAGGGCACGTAGATGCTGACGAATCGGTCGCTCTGATCCTGGAAGAGACTTGATTATTTTTGGCTGAAGCCATCAGCAGCTGAGGACCAAACAAGGGCAGGGATTCGGAAGGACTTGGACTGTGTTCGCAAAAAAGTACTATGTCTCTCGCTCTGTCTGCTGCTGCGCTCCTGCTCCTGCGCCTGCCCACTACCACTACCACTATCTATGCCACGACCACTTCCACTAGCACGGCTCCTCCCCTTTCCTCCACCTCGTCCTACTACTACTCCAACCCCATTCCGACTCCTAATTTAGCTGCTGCGACTGCTACTACGACTCGTGCCATAGCTGCTGCTGCATTGGTCGCTATCACGATCACTGCTACGACTACTGGGACGAATACGGCCAATACTAGTACCACCACCACCACCACCACCACCACCACGACCGCGGCTGCGCACCGACTGCTGTTGTTGTGACGAACGACGACTATGGCTGCTACAGCGAGGGCCATCTCACCCTGAACCTCAAACAGAATGGTGTAAGGCCGCTGCCCAGGAGAATCTGGAGATCTTCGTGGACATCTGCAGTGGATTTGGCAGATCGAAGGAACCCAGACCGCCAATATCCTTTAGTTTAAGTTAGGACGGATTCCCATCTTTTTTCCAGGCATGCGCCTCAACACATGGTATTATACCATCTGGCATTGTGTTTGGGCTTGAGGAACTCCAGGGAAGGCTTGATTCAGGTCATTTTGTTGGTCAGGTTTTCGGGATTTTGTTTAGGGATTCAGTTGCACAGTTGGCTCCTGCATTCTGCGCGGTAAGTCGGGCTAATGCTCATCAAACCTATTTCTCTGTCAAGTACTAAAGCTCAGGAAAGTTCATGGGTTAACATGAGTTTCGAGGTGTATACGGCCTGGGTCCACATCCCTTGAAACTTGGTATGAGGCCCATCTGCCCCATTCCAACCACCGAAAACCATGAACTTAACCCCTAAAATTCCATACGACCCCCAAAACACCACTCCACTGAATCATCGAGCAAATGCAGCCCACAGCATCCACGAAGCCCCCCGAAATTCAGAACATCTCGAACTAAAGGACCTGAAGGGTTTAGGGATCCCCAAAACTGACAAAGCCTTACTGTAGGGGCCTAAATAATTACCAGTACTCTTTTTTTTTTGCGGGGGGGGTCCTCATTCTCATTTTCGTATGAAGGGCCCTTAAACTCCATTTTAATTATTAAGGCCGCTATACTAACCCACCTCATGAAGTCGCTTTAGCAAGCATCGCTTGGCAAACCAATCTACGTGGCACAAAATGAGCCCGCCCCTTTCAGGGAACAGCTCTGCGCCGCACATCCAGCTGACGGTCCAGGTCTCCGAAATCGGCCTTACTTGGAGGTTCATGGGTAGTTATAAATGAGGTTATAAGTAGGGTAACTATAATTATAACCCATTTTAGGGGACTTATAACCATACTTATAAGTACCCATGAACCTCCAAGTAGAAGCACTCACCACCCGAAGCTTTGGAAACCCCAAACAGCTGAAGTCTGTACGCACGGAGCCCAAGAAAGGATTTACACAGAAACAGGGCCTCGCTAGTTTAGGATATGGTTCGGAGTCGCAGGGCTCCGGTTTCCTAGCTGCTGGCTGTCCTGTGCCAACAACAGCTGACCCTTCACGAGATATTATGTAAGGTCCAGGATTAACTATTTTAAAAAGTTTCATAAGTAATTGTCGTTCTTTATGTATATATGTATATGTTAGGACTACACAAGATGCAAGATGAAGTATACACAGTGTCAGCTAGTGAGGTCGAGGCGTGATTAGGGCTTCAAACCTTGGCATCTAAGGTTAAAGTTCTGGCAGTGCTGTGATGTCATGCGGCCACGGAAACACTTGCAGCTGGGTTAAGGGTTTAGGGTTTACAAGATTCAGTACAATTGACAGCCGATTGCGAGTTAAACCATGCAAGACATTACCTGATATCTGGCACTGACCCTTTTTTTTGCATCCAGGCCTATTGCAACTGCCGGGTACCCCTGAAAGGGCACTGACCCTTGAACCTGTAAACCCCCGGCCAAACACAGCTCCTGAAAGCTCATCAGACTCTAAACCCTAAACCCCTAAACCCTAAACCCTAAACTCCGCGCTAGTGAGCTCTAAGCTTCTTTGAAACCCACTCTCAACCTTCATCCGGGCTCCATGCGAGCGGCCTGATGTTCTCGGGGACCACCTGACGAACCCGAGATGAACGTTGATTTGATTCAGGGTCCTTGGCGGCTTAGGGCTGGCATATTTTAAGTTTCTACAGGGTTCTGATTCTGGGGTATATTATACCAAACCCTAAACCCTAAACCCGAGACTACGACTATGGGCTTCAGGGGTGTCTTAGACTATATACTGATACTAAGGAGCCCTCAGAGACTTCAGCTACATTCGGCAGCTACGCTATCAGACGCACTCGTTCAGTAGAGTTTAGGTTTTCTAGGGTTTCAAGGCTTGTTAGGGTCTTTTGAAAGGGCGTGGAAGAAGCCTCATGCGGGCATTCGGGGTTTAGGGCTTGTAAGCTTTGAGGAACTTTGGGGTTCTTTGGCTTTGAATCCGGAGTCACGAACCCTGCATGCCACATCTGAAGCATGAGTAGTGCTCAAGCTTTACCCTCATTCTTGCTGCTTACGCTCTCAAGCCCCAGTTTCCAGCAAGAGAACTGCCTCCAACTTGCGATTCAAGATCTGGTTTTGCCAGCCCGGAACAGTGTTCCCCCAGCGTGGACGCTTAGATAAGCGTGAAAAGAATAACGATGTGAGATAAAAGTGGGCAAGTGTACCACTGACGAACCTGCCGCGTAGGTTAACTCCGTAGAATGCATCACAACCACTTCTGGATCCCCAAAAGTCCCGTGTGCACAGCAAGGCCCAATGCCAAGCTTATGGCCTGTGGCTTGGATTCGAAGTGCCAAACCCTGCCTGGATCCCAAATAAGCTACGCTTTTAAGGATTCTTAGGATAAGTTCCGTATACAAGTCCTCTAAAAGGTAGGTTCTTCGGCAGCTTTGGTGTTCAGGTAGAGCCCACCGTCACAAGCACCAAAGCATGAAACAGAATGACCCTCTTGCCCCGAATGTCTAAGCAACCCCGGCTCCGGAAATCCTGAGAGTCTAGGCTGTCAAGGTAAAGGACACGAAACCATATAAACCCTAGACCGAAAGGAAAGCCTAAACCCTAAACCCCTAAACCCTGAACTACAAAACTTCTTTTGCTGCAGGACCTGTGCAATCGCGCCACAAAACCCTAAAAACCCTAAAAACCCTAAACCCGAACCCCAAACCGCCAAACCTTAAAGCCTCAACCCTGAGCGTACCTAAACCCTAAACCCTAACGGCCGCATTGCTTGGCTGCTGACATTTGGGTCCATGCCATCCTCCGCCACCAACGCCTAAGTCGGCCACTACAAGGCGCTAGGGCGTTAAGGGGGTTTGGGGGTTCGGGTTGTATGCGGTTCCGTTTCAGGGTGCTACAGTAGTCCAGCTCTGAAGATGAAGCACATGCAGGGGGTTCTAAGGCCCATGCTGTTTGGGATTAGGGCTTCGGGCGTAGATTTTAAGCTTACCAGGACCCTCCTTAGGTATCGTTGCTGAAGGAATATATGCACCGTAAAACATGATGGAAGCGCCCTCATATGCCTTAGGGCAGATTGGTTCCCTAGAGGTTTTCGGGGCTCTCGTGGCTTGTGGTCCAAGGGGGTCTAACTCTAGCTCTGTAAAAGGCTAAGAAGACTTGGTTGTATGTAGACTGTAGATCCTACCCGACGAAGACCAGCCGAACTGAAAATCTAGGTAGCCCGGATCCCTCAAGAATCCCTCAACCTAAACCCTAAACCAAGGAATAAGTTCCATCTTGAGACATCCGGAATCCTGTTGTCCAAGGCTCCAGGATTTCCACCGTCAATGCCTGCTGCATACCTGAAACTGCCATAACCTGCTTTTTGGGCAGGCTCTTATTGTAAACCATAATATAGAATATATAGGGATCCAACAAAAACCAGGTTTCGGTAGTTCAAGGTACTTTAAGCATGTATACAGTAGATGGCTTGTGCTGCTGGTTGCTGGGTTTCGCAAGGTGCGGAAGCTCGTGACGCCGGGGGTCCCTGCCCGGTCCACATTGACTTGATCCCAGGCCTGGTAGTAGGTGTTGACATCCTGCACGGTTTATGGTTTCATGTTTTAGGCTGCAGGGATTCGGGGCTTAGGGTCGGACCAAGAACCAGAGAACAGGCTATGTGCAGTTTTCGATTTCGGGAAAACGGCATCCATGTGGGTTTGGGTGTTGGGTGTTGTGCTAACCCGTTCTCGTTTGAGCCGTAGAAGACTGTTCTATGCACTACCCCAAAAACCTAGGACCTAAACCCGCAGAAGCATCCTTTTCATTTTCAAACAACTCTCAAAACCATGCAGAAAACCCCAAACCCTAACCCTGAATGTCCTGAATCATACGTAAGTCCTACAGCACAAAACCCAAAGTCCCAACCCCAAACCCCTTTTTTGCATCAGGACTTGTGCAATCGCCTGAGTGTCTGAGCCTACAGAAGTTCAGCTGCAAATGCACTGGAGCAAATCGCATTGGCTATTTTCTTGAGCCAGTCGGCGTTGCTTGGGCGGTTCCGGTGCCCACCCCTGTACATGGAGAGTCATGACTGCAACACCCTTCAGGCGCTGTCTTCACACTCCTAAGTTTTCTTTGGCACCGGAACCCATTTCTGTCCACAACCTTGACAAAGCTTACATTGACGGCTCCGGTAGCCATCAACTCGTCGATCTGCGGGCTCTTCATCCGCTTTGTCAGGCCGTCCGCGACCATAGTGGAAGTGTCGATCCACTGCACCGTTGTTGTAGCCGAGGATGGCGGTGCATCCGCCAACATAGGGTCACCCACATCTTCTCCCGGTAGGCGCCATACGAGCTGTCTCAAGGCGCTCAGGTCTATCGCGAGACGTTTGTCTCCGACAGTGTGCAAACCCGGCTGCCGTAGGTGCTGCTCCAGGCTCTTACAGTCCGTCATCATCACGATCTTGTAGCGGTCCATGGCCTTGATGAGGTCGTGCTTGTCCTCCTCATAGTTCATGCCATAGAGCACCGAGCGAACATGTTCCGCACCTTCGTAGCCTGACACCATGCTCAACGTCTCAGCTTGGAGTGTGGAGCGGCAAACTCTTCGTATCACTGAGCTGTGGTACTCTAGGATGTGCACATTGCCAGCTCCCATAGTCTCCAGAGCGCTGGGGCCGAGTAGTAGTAGTCGGCCCGACTGTGACCGGTTTCCCAGTGGATCTCCCTTCTTGGCGATGTCGTAGTCGGCACCGTGGCTGGCGTCGGTGATGCTGTAGATCGTCATGTCGTTGATGTCGAAGGCCTCGTACTGGAAGTGCATCCCCTTGTTGGGCGTCTTCTTCACATAGTTCAGGATCTGGTTGCACATGATGAGGTCCTCCACCATCGCCTTTTGCATCACTGCCTGCAAGCGGTGGACTTCGTAGGCGATGTCCACCCGGCATACACGCACTAACCAATTAAGGCTGCCCACGATGCTCCTGAGTTGGGCGCGTTCTTGCTCCGTCACATAGTGGTCCTTTTGTCGCCGGCGTTCGGCCCCAAGGTGTATCGGTCTCAGTTTCGCTGCATTGTTGGGGACCGTGATGGTGATGCCGTCCTTGCCCTGCTCCACGGTCCGTCCGCAGTAATCGAACTTGTCGCCGAATTCCAAGGCGCCGAACTTGAACTCCTTGATGATCTCGTCCATGACCTTGTCCATGGCCTCAGAGCCACTCCACAGCAAATCATCCACATGAGCGATGACGATCCCTTGGAGTCCGTGGTGCTTGTCCTGCAGCACGTAGGCGGCGTGCTCTCCCGGTATGGCGCGTAGCCCTTTTGACAGAGCAACTCGGTGTAGACGTTTCCAAAAGCCTCTCGGAGCGTCTTTGGTTCCGTATACGGGCTTCCGAGCCCGTAAAAGTGCTCCTTCGGGTACTCCGGGAAGTCCTCCAGGCGGTGGTCGTAGTATCAAGGTCCTGGTGATAACATCTCCTTGTAGGAAGGAGGCCGTGATGTCACCTCCTCGTAGTCGCCAGCGCTTGTTGGCCGTGATGCTCAAGAGGAGGTTGAACATCATGGCAGACGCTGTAGGGCTGTCAGTGCGGGCACCTTCTGCTCCCGTCTCGAGGTCTCCTCTGACAACTATTCTCGACTTGTACCGAGGGTCTTCCCAAGGTTGCGCCTTGTTGTTGTCAACCCATCTCGTTGGGGTGATCTCCGCGTCCTTGTGCTCCTTGAGGTAGGCCGGTACGTCCTCCGAGAGGATAATGTCGACCGCATCGAAACCTTGCCAGTTCCCCCACTCCTTGAGTCTGGCATTGTCAATCCCCTGCTTCACGGCATCCGTCTCCTTGCGGTAGTGGAGTTCCTTGGACCTGGCGGCAGCGCTCTTCTTGTTAACTCTTCGAGCTAGGAACCCATGGAACCCTCTGTCGAGTTCCGGCGCTGGTCCTGTAGCAAGTAGCCCTCTTGGTGATCGCGATCTCCTGCGAGGGACTCCATCCAGTGCATCCACAGAGCGATGGATAGCATGTTGTAGTTCTGTCACCCTCGCAGCAGAACCGATTGTTGGCATAGCTGTGGACGCTGTTGTCATACTAGGCCTTCTACTAGACGGCATCAACTCTTGTTCGGGCTCCAGACTCGAAGATGTCCTAGACACATTTTGCCTTTCGGCGGGGACCTCAC